ACCTAATTTATAAAAAAGACTAAACAATGATAAATAAAATCCCCAAAGTTACAGCACCGCATGCGTACATCTACACATTAGCTATTTATTTGAGCAATTATTTGCTCAAATTCAAGCAATGATAACATCAACACATAAATGATTCAAATCATACCTTCAATTGCACTATATAATATTTAATGTTCTAATTTAAATAATTATATATCGATCCAAATATTCTTAATATATTACAATAAATTCATTCCGTGCATCGCACGGGGGCAAATATGAATAATGTTCCGTATACACTTAATTAACACTAATTATAGGTAACCAATTTGCGTCAAATTAATTCCATACATTTTTTTAATCACAAATTAAACCGAACACAACTTTTATTGAAGATCAACCGGCCCTTATATGAGGAATTTTCCCCACTTTGATACAACCAAACATTTTTGTACCAAAAGGTCACGAGTTTGATTCTTTTCATTACCATTTCCATCGAGCTCGTCGCACATGGTCGTCCTAGTGCAATTTACCACTGCTATGCAGTTTGTGAGCTATTACACAGGAACAGAGCTTACTAAATGCATATCCTTGGGATCGAGACCGATGAACGCGTCACCGAAACCCTAAAATAACCCTCATTACCGATTTCATGTCACCGGGGCACGAAACCGTAAAATAACCCTCATTATCGATGCATACTCTTGGGATCGAGACCATGAATGTGCCATCAGAATCCTAAAATAACCCTCATTACTTATTTCATGTCACGGGAGACACAAAACCGTAAAATAACTCTCATTACTGATTTTTACTGGTGGATAATAGGCTATTGAAGCCATATGTTGCACAACAATGACAAGTTAATATGTTTAATTACAACTTTTTTAAGTTCATAAGATTTATTATTTTTGTATAAAGTTCAAGGATTTATTTGACTTTTTTCATATAATTTGTACATACTAAGATATGAAGAACACTATGATCATTTTATCAGAGGTGGAATGTTTATGCGATTTAAGTCATGACAACTAACCATATATATTTACTATAGATATGTGTGTATGATTTGTTCATCATTTAATAGGATACTTAATTCTGTTAATATAACATATATTAGAGTCAATGAACTAAAGATTCACTTAGCTGGTGCATGATTGTGCATTTTGGTGTAGTAACATGCAAGAAAAAGAAAAAATAAAAGTCAACTACTTATAGTATTTCAACGTACTTGTCTGCATGTTTTCTAATCATTTACAAGCAAACTCTTTCTCCTCTCCATTCACACTCAACCGAAAATGAAGGCAGCAATCATCAACTCATCTTGACAAAGTTGAACCATTAAAATTAAAATGTCTGCTCATATTCGGTATGCATTTAACTACTATAATAAGTAGTTAGACATGTATACAAAAGAAATTAAACTCGATTTTAAAAATCGCTCGTGAGTAAACAAGGTTGGGCAAAAGCTCAGAGAGCTGAATCCAACATCTTGTTAACAAAATTCGGGAATGACTACGTACTACACAAGTATAATGAAATAGAATTGTGCCTTTACAGAATAGCTTTTAGTGTAGTATGTAGTGAGCGCTTGATCCTGACACGTACTGACGAGCTGAGTTTAGTCAATCTGGAGTATTAAGATTCAGTATATAAATGGATCACAATAAATATAATAATCATATTGATGGAAATAATAGAGTAATTGTGTATGGTTATCAATATTATTAACTAAATGTTTAATGGCCAAACATCTTGTGCTCAAATGGCACCTCTGTGACTCTTTGAGGGAAGGCCACAGGATCAAACCCTGGTAGTGGGGTATTGACTCTTTGGGCTGCAACAGATAGAGAAGTATAGAGACAAAGTCATTAGGCCACCAAAACAAAGATGGTGTCTCATCTCTGTGCGATGGCAGGAGCTCTCCTGATCTTCAGGTATGAGAATAACTATAAAGGTCGTCACGAGTTTGATTATTGTCAACACCATCCAAGTCGAACTGTTTGCACATGATCTTCTTAGCTAGTGTGGTTTACCTCTTGTGTGATTTACAAATTATTATACATGAGTCATGAGCAAAATTTACGCAATGCACAAAATTAGGATAATAGCTTAAAATAATTCAATGTTAACCACTTCATCCTACACACTAATTACTCTATTTGTGGATGGATAACTATTAATTAGTTTTGTGGACGGATAGTATTAGGTCGTGCAAATGCACATTGATACTTTTGGATTTTATATGGTCCAATAACAAGTGGTGTAGGCTACGTACAACCATGTTGCATGCAAATTTTATAACATTATTTCATGCAAAGTCCACCGGCAATTATATTGTTTATTTAGATTGGATCAAGTTGATTACAAGTTACAATATTTCATCACCATCTTCTCTGTCAGATCCTCATAAACAAATACAAAAATGTTCATGAATCCTAGTATAAATAACCCGCAGTTTTGTTTGCTTGATGTATATCAACTATCAAACCTCGTAGCAACTAAAAGCAAATTTTGTTGTGATTAAGAATGGCTTCACAAAGGAACTATGGAGTTCTGATTCTGCACATGATGTTTTTCCTTGTTGTGTCTCACTACTGTCATGCACAAGGCCTTAAAGCTAACTTCTACAAGAAAACATGCCCTGGAATGGAGTCTGTTGTGAAACAGACAACGGCTCGCCTCATTTCCAAAGCACCAACTCTCGCAGCTCCCTTGCTTCGAATGCATTTCCATGATTGTTTCGTTAGGGTATGTATTAGTATAATTATCACTTTGGGTTTTCGGGTTTTTTTACTTCTAACTTTCAAGTTTAAAATCGACCAGATTTGATCGTCTCATCTATTTTGTAGGGTTGTGATGGTTCTGTTCTATTGAACTCGACGAGTAATAACCAATCAGAGAAAGAGGCAATTCCCAACCAAAGTCTCAGAGGATTCCAAGTTATAGATGCTGTAAAATCTGAGGTAGAGAAGAAGTGTCCCGAGGTTGTTTCTTGTGCTGATATCCTAGCATTAGTAGCTCGAGATGCGGTTACAATGGTATGTTATGAATATAAATTCAAAAACATTATATTATGATTACATATATAGCATAATTGAAAAATCAAAATAGTTATGGGAGTATATATATAATTTCAATATATAAATGGATGTCACAGCTTAATGGGCCATTTTGGAAAGTTCCATTGGGAAGAAGAGATGGAAAAGTTTCTATCATGTTGGAGGCTTTGAACGACTTACCCCCTCCATTTGGAAACATTTCCACCTTAAAAACAATGTTTGCCGCCAAGGGTTTGAACAAGAAAGACTTGGTCGTTTTATCAGGTAATTAAACCTATAACAACTTATATATATTAAGATTACCATGGATATAAACACTAGCAATTGTCATATAATATTATAGAATGAACTTTCGTAAGTATAATTTGTATGTCCCCTCACATATGTGAACCGGTTCTTTTGATGGCTCCAAGTAATGTGTGCATGGACCATAGTCTCTTGAATCGGGTGACGAGAAAATTCGAACCTATAACCTTTAGCATTAGATTGACTTTGATACCAAATTAAAACATATGATCTATCTCTACTAAAAGGTTAAAGAATTAATGATTGTTTTGGTTCCTCGACTATGTCGTAACTCGTAATTACTAAATTGGTTCTCGACTATCAATTTTGATCAATTAAATCTTCAACTATTGATTTCAGTGGTCTTCTGTAATTATCATATTGGTTCTCGATCAGTTTGACAGAGGACCAAATCGGCTACGAAATCAATAGTAGTTGAGGATTAAATATGTCAAAATTACTAGTCGAAGACCAATTTGGTAATTAATTACGACATAGTCGAGCGACCAAAAAAGTCATTAATTCAAGATTAAACTTATAGTTGAATTGCACATATATATTTGAATCAATGACCATTTTGGTCCCTCAACTATGCCGTAATTACTAAATTGATCCTTGACTATTAATTTAGATCAATTAAATCCTTAACTATTGATTTCGTAACCGATTTGATCCGCTGTCGAATTGACTGATGACCAATTTGATAATTATGACATAATCGTGAGACCAAAACGGTCATTAATCCTATTTATGTATTATATGCCCAAAATTAATTGCATTCAATATTTTTTTTGGGTTTGGTACAGGAGGACATACAATAGGAACTTCTCACTGCCCTGCCTTCACCGACCGGCTGTACAACTTCACCGGCAGAGGAGACACCGATCCTACGATGGATCCGAGCTACGTTGCCGCTCTGAAGAAGAAATGCCGGCCGGGAGACAGCACAACACTGGTGGAGATGGATCCTGGGAGCTTCAAAACATTCGACGAAAAATATTTCTCCGACGTAGCAAAGAGAAGAGGTCTCTTCCAGTCCGATGCTGCTCTCCTTAACGACAAGCAAACCAGAGGTTATGTCGTCCGCCAGGTTGCCACCGGCGGCGCCACCTTCTTCAAAGATTTCGCTAAATCCATGGTGAAAATGGGGAAGATTGGGGTTTTGACTGGCAATAATGGTGAAATTAGGAGGCATTGTGCTTTGGTTAATTAATTAATATTGATGTATAATTAAGTGGGTCGTTTAATTAATTTAAAATAAGGAAGCAGTGTGATGTTGTTATTTAATTTAAAATTTAAATAAACAAAAAAATATATATATTGTAAAATAATTTATTTACATTCTTTGGCAAAAAGGATTGGAATAAAGTGTGAACTATTATTTAATTTATAATTTCAAGCTAGGCAAAAGTGTTAAGGGAAAGAAGGTAAGGAAAGAGGAAAAGTGGAATAAACTCACCGGAGAAGACAAACTGACTCTGTATTTTGAGAATTAAATTACACGTAATTATTTTTTTAATTAAATTCCATGTCATCTGTGTTGACAGGTAACCGGGTGGTAACTTGTGAAAAAGTCTAATCGAACAAATTCAGAGAGTAAGTGTGCATGATTACCATATATTTTAGATGGTGGGGTGAATTGAACACTTCGAGGTAGTAGATGAGCCTATTTGACACCTCTGCCTAATTTCAATTATCGAATTATTACCTATATATTGTCTATCGATTACTGCAACGACGTTGATGGGGATATATATATAGGTTATGGGATAAGATTTACTGGACTCTTGTTATTGGGTTGGATTTGATAGTACAAGTCAAAAGAGGTGAGGGGTCAAGGAAAGAGAAGTGGACTGGCCCGGTAGGGGTATCGCTGGACAGGGGTGGTTGGTCCAGGAAGGCCGCCAGCTGGGGTGCTGGCCCCGCCGGCGGGTGTGTGGCCTGCGCTTCTGACACACCCTTGTGCAACCTGCCCGCACACCCTTGTGCAACCTGCTCGCACACCCTTTACTAGAGGTAGGATGAGGCGCTGGCGTGAGACGATCGAGGCGCGTCCCGCGCGGCGGTACTAGGCGCCCCCGTTTCCGAAGGTGGTGCAGTGCGGGGGTGTAGGGCGGTGTTGGGGTGTGGGGTGGTGCGGTAGGGTGGTGTGTTGCGATAGGTCATGGTACGACGCGACATGGTGCGTGAACGTGGGACACGTGGAGGATGGAGGGGTGGATCAAAGGATGACGTACACGTGGATGGGGCAGCTACAAGGGATTCTGTTATAAATAGGCTGCCTTGCCTCTTACCAGGACATCATTATTTGAGCACTACATGCACCTTGGTATAGTAGTCTCTTATCTATGCTCTCATCCCATCCACCTGGGTTTAACTCAAATCAGCAGCATAATTAATTATAGTCCATCCTTTGGGCCATAGTCTTTGTGTTTGGGCCTCCATTTTGAGCCTATACCTCAGACTACGTACATTATTTGGGTCTAACGCCACAGGCAAAAATATTACTATTTTACTTCCCTCTTTCTGTATTTTCATACCCGATTCCAAAAAAATCATCAGACGTGTTTCAAATATGTTAGAGCTTAACTCACGACTTAATTTAAAATTTCAACTACATATCAAATTTAATTTAATATATCATTACATATAAAAGGGTAAAAGTTAATGAAATATTTATGAAATTATAGTACGTATTATATTTAACAATTTAGGACCAACTACTATGTAGTGGATAACACTTCCGTTATCATTTTAAATTGGTGGTCATAGGATTAAACCTCAATAGTGGGACACTGATATTTTGAACTGAAAAAAATTTGAGAAACTATAAATATATGCTACCTTCTAAACAACCATGGATGTCCGAACTATATGATCATCAGTAACAACGTCATCTCGTCTTCCGTTTTTTAAATACGATTTTTCACCATTTTGAAAACCATTTAAAACTTATTAGAGATTTTAGCACAACGGGAGTCTTTGAATTTTTGCCTTCTGAAATATTGGTAGGGATCCAAAAATTCTCATTTTCTCCTTTTTTCAGAACACGCTATTAATCGTTAAAAATCATTATCCTTTTACGAGAGAGAAATGTTCTGATTTAGTGTAGGTCCAAAAAATATGTTTGCTTAACTTATATTGTCATAAAATATCTTATTGTCAAATGTTCTTGGAGAGTGTGCCCAACAACACTTATCACAAAAGGTCAAGGAACATTCTCTATGCTCTGTACATCTACTAGTTAACCCTAGCTTGATTTTACTACTAAAGGTCTGCCAAATCCTAACAAAGTACTTTTGAGAGTTGGTTAAAACAAGATGATATAACATCTACCGGAAGGCCTCTACAAATGAATTATAGGGTCCGCCGATCATGTTTACTAGTGTGAGTTAGCGAATTCTCCATAAAGAAGGGTGAAATGAAAACAAAACATCTAAAGGTCTACCGGACCTCTAGTGATATGTTCTACCGGATAAGGCCTACCGATAGTGAGCAGAGTCGATTATCCTATCGCTACCTTGAATATCTACCCGTGAGATCACTTACAAGTTACAACTAAGGCTTAACTTGCCGGGACTAACTCCTAAATTTGGTCAATACAAATTAGCCTTATTGAATTGGCTATTACAAAGAAAATCTTGAGGAGTCTAAATTTCTTAATATACATCATATAACATCATCAAAAGCAGTACAAGATCAGAATTATTCCTAACAGCAAGACAAAAGAGGAGCCTACGTGCTCTCTTATATATTTTGTTCCACATCGCTTGTGAAACAAAGGGTAGCGTTGAGTGACTCAAGCTATCGAACCCTATATCGCAAAAATCGCGCTTAAATGCTGATTAATCGACGTCCGACCCCGTCGAGGAATGCCGCAATCGACATTCTCCGCGGTCGGCTGGCCGAAACGTCTCAAGCCGGTTTTTTTTTTTTTTAGGGTTATTCGCCAAAACGACGTCATTTTGGCGAATAACCCCTAAAAAAATAAAATTACTTCCAAAATTATAATTAGGCGGTGTTAAACTAATCAATTATAATTTTATAAATGTGTTTTAGACTTTTAAGTAATTAGGTATTATAATTTTTGGTTAATTTTTTTTTAAAAAATAAAAATAAAATAAATAATCGGGCGCCTAGGAGCCGAAAAATCGATGCCTAGTATCTTTTTCAACACTGAATTCGGACTAACCCACTAAATTTCACGCTAGCTCACTAGCTAGGGCCATTGAGTTTAGCAGTTTCAAGCTATCGAACTAATTAAATTTCTTATTGGGTTCAAGTTTTCAATCCAAACCTATTAATTTATTAATTTTTTTCAGATCAACCTATCAATTTCAAGTTAAGGTTTATATTTCTAATTATATGCCTGCAACAACTTGGGAAGGTGTCTTCATTTTCGGTCACAAAATATTTAAACATGAGTTGCAAGCATGTTAGGTTTTGTACATATTTCTACAGTGTTAGGCCACAATTAATTTAATGTTAGACTAAATATTAATATAATGTTAGGCCATAATTTATATTTGATTGTCAAGTCAACTGAGCATAACCATAACGCAATTTTTACTTCCTAACATTACTGTTACGATACACCTTGTGTTCAGAGATGGCACCTCTGTGGCTCCCTTTGAGAGAAGGTTATAGGATGGAAACCGGATGGTGGAGTATTGACTCTTTGAAGTGCATTAGTTAGTGAAAGCTAAGTATATATAGAACAGATACTACTATACCTTGTAATAGAGTTAATATACGCACACTAGAAAGTGACGCACTTCATTCTGAGCAGTTTCACTTGGGAGAAGCTTCGCACCTGATCCCTTGTTTATATATATATATATATATATATATATATATATATATATATATATATATATATATATATATATATATATATATATATATATATATATATATATAGTGAATTCCATTTTTGGTCCTACTGTTATAGGGGTGTTTCCAATTTTAGTCCACCTTAATTTTTTTTGCCACTTTATGACCACTATTATTGAATGTGTTCCACTTTTAGTCCACCGTTAGTACTTCCATCAAGAGGCCGTGTAATCTAGGGATATTTTGATCTTTCTTCTCATCTAAGACTATGTTTGACTAAAATAAGTGAGAACATTAAACCTAAAACCTAAGAAACCTCGCCGGTCCACGTTGGAACGAACGAAACGATGTAGCTTTGGCTTCCCATTCTCGTTGTTCGAAGAACCATCTTCGAATATCGGAGGAGGAGGACGAAGCACCTAGATTAAAAGAGAAGAGACAACCATAAAAAGACCAAAATACCCGTGGATTATACGGTCTCTTGACAGAAATATTAACGGTGGACTAAAAGTGGAACACATTCAATAACACTGGTTGTAAAGTGGCAAAAAAAATTAAAGTGGACTAAAATTGGAAACGCCCCTATAACAGTAGGACCAAAAATGGAATTCACTCATATATATATACTAGTTTTTTACGCGCATTGCGCGATTGGGATAATGTCCAATGTTTTTTTTTAAATAAGTACTTTAAAGTATATTAATGCAGGATTATATTGAAATTGTTCATGCATAGATAATTGAAGGTTGAATTTGCGTATTTAAATAGGTAATTTTTCTCCAAAAGGTTGAGTCCCCAACCCCAAGGGCTCCCCACACTCCGACCCGACAGAGCATTGTGAGAAGTTGTAAATCACGGTGACTCAATGGTTCAGCAGACAGGGCCAAATGCTGATACGCACAAGGAATCTGCCCACTTTGGACATAATTCCCGCACTGCCGCCGCCGAGGTTTAAACCTTGGTCTCTTCTCCCAAATACTACCCACTAAACCATTGAGCTAAGCCCGTGCGGGTTAAATAGGTAATTCTAAGTTTACAAATGCAAGATAATATAGTCAAGATTGATTATAATTGTCAATAAAATAATTATATAGGTATGGTTGAAACCAAATATGGGACATAAGGGAGAACAAATAAAAATTATGGCATAAAATATTAAATATATACTAATATTGTTTGAGGAGATTCCGACATTAGGATTTGTGGTTAAGTTCTATTAAGACTTTAATATTAGAATTAGATTAATGGTATAGTTATAATTCTATATTAGACTTTAATATTAGAATTAGACTAACGGTGAATTAACGGAAAAGTTAAATGGATAATAATATAATTAAGGATAAATTAGAAAATCTTAAAAGAAAAAAATTAAAACCTGAACAATATGAACCATTCATTGATTTAATAATTTGGCGG